AAATATTTAATAAAGCCATGTATTTTCAAAACAAATGAGTGAGATATTGTTGGTTTTACTCTGGATTTGATTTTAGAGAAACTTCTCTAGATTCTTTTTTTTTAAATTGAAGTTTAGTTGTTTTACAATGTTGTGTTTAGTTTCTGGTGTACAGCATAGTGATTCAGTCATATGTGTGTGTATGTGTATACATATATATATACACATACACATACTCACTCTTCTTCATATTGTTTTTCATTATAGGTTATTATAAGCTATTGAATTTACCTCCATGTGTAGGGAGGTAGGACCTCGTCGTTTTATGTATTTCTTATACTCTAATTACAGAGGATCACTGGGGGAAGACGGGATACCAGGGAAGAGAGAAAACCTCCTGAAACCTGCAAGTCTGAGTTGCTGGAACTATTGCCACCAGTGAGCAGCTGAAATGGAATGCAGTGGAGCCCACATGTCTCCCCTAGGGGAGGAAGGGGCAAGGTCAGCTGTGTGAACCTGCCACTGTCCTGTGGGGACAGGGAACTGGTTCTGCACCCTGTAGGAAACAGATTTTCCTTTATGTCACTTATATAAACAGAGGCTGTGCTCTAAAAAGAAAAAAGGGATAATTTAGTGAGGAAATAACTTAGAAAATAAATCCTGAGTGGCAGTTTTACTCCACAGTGTTTGGGCAATTTCCTGTTTTGTAATATAACTCCTGTCATTTGAATTATTTATATCTTGCCTCCCTTAAGTTAATTACAAACTTAAAATCTCACACTTCTGTTTGCATTCCTCTTGGGCCTAGCAGCGTGCTGCCGGCCCCCTGTACCCCCTCCCCAATCCCAAATGTACATACGCAAACTCACAAACACACATTAAAAATATACTGATTGATCCGGAATAAAATAAACTGAATAAATAAAATAAAGTGAAGTGGGTCGGAAAGAGAAAGAAGAATGCCACATGACATCATTTATATGAGGAATCTAAAAAATAATAATAATAATGAGGACACAAAGGGACTAATTACCATTCTGATTTCTTGAATATGTGTAAGCACATTTGACTGTCCTTTATGATTGGATTACTGCATTCTGTTGATTCTTATTTTGTAGTTGGCTTTATTCCTTTGATAACTATGTAAGTTTAAAAGGTTAACGATCTAATATGTTCTTAGAAATAATAATTAGTACATATATGTAAACTAAAGGACAATGTGCAGTATACTGTATAT